GCAAATATGACAAAAAATATTTTTAGAAAAGTTACCTACTGCAGCTTTAATGTCCTATTTGTTTGGTTCATCAATCTGCACCTCCATGCAGACTTTCTCGCTCTTATACTATACGTCACCTGACTTCAACAGCTGGAAGGCAGCGTCATATACAGTATTTTGAAGCAGAAGGCCACTGACCAAGCTGCATATTTGGCAACTTAGAAAGGAGACCAGGTTGGAAAATAAGGTTGTCCTGATTAAATCTAAATCAGGGTGGCCTGCTGGAGAAACAAATTTTGTGGTTGAATTCCTGAATTGTAACTAGAGTTTAGCTGTGATACAAGTCAGTGTCGATGATGAAGTTTAGAGCAGAGAACAGACAGCTCTGGATGTTTTATGTTTTCTTACTGTCCCCTCATCAACACAACAAGCGTCCTGGAGTGAACGCAGTATTTTCCCTTAGCTGCAGCCTAATTCCATCACTTTTTGGATTTAATTCTACTAATCTCTATTATAGTAACAGTAATTTATTTTTTATAGCGCACAAGGCAGCAAACACTGAGTAATAAACTTCTTAGTAGTAGAAATTGTTATAGAGACTTCTGGAATGCAGCCCTCCAAACTCTCCAATACATTTCTTCATTTGTATGAGGAAGACGTCCTCCTCCCTCTGCATATGCACGCTGCCCATACGGCAATATCTGTAGTCTGCAGAGCCTGCATACAGAGCATCACTGATGGGTTTGCTCACAGTAAGCATACATCTACTTTGCTTTCCACTTTGCAAGAAAACTAGACACAGATTTGATCAAGACAATAGGTAGATAATATATAGGATGTGTATATGGAATATTTAGAAAAATGTGTTTTATTTTATGTTTAAAATGATGTATGAATGCTATGATAAATTCATTACATTTTGTTCTGGCTGTGCTAAATATTTAAATAATCTTTTTACATTTTTATACTTGAATTTATTGCCTCAGGAGATGTGTTTTCATACAGTAATTAGCGGGATAATGTATTAACAGAATTCATAAATAAATATTAAACATACTGCCTAGATGTGCGACTGAAGTGATTGTAATTTTAACAGAAGCAGCTCTTTAACATGTTGCTCAGGTTTTGTGAGCAGAATTTAACATACCTTATTCTTTCATTTAAGTCACAAGGAGATGTCACTGAGAGCAGACTTGACTTTTAAGATCTTAATGATATTCTTTGAGAAGTTTTGTCCAAAGACCAAACACAATCTGTTTTGATCCTTTGTGACACGACCAGTGCCAGTTGCATACTTTCATCCTTCAATAATATGACTTGTTTAACACTTTTATTGGTATCATGCAGAGGTGATGAAACTGAGGGCAATGCTTACAATGACCATTTCCTCTCACTGAGAGATTATAAAATGAGAAAAGGACAGATGCAATTACCAAGAATCTGCACTTTGAGTCAAGGGCTTCTGGGACAAACAGTCATTTAAAGGGAGTCGGGGTCAGATTTATGATCCTGCAGACCATCCACTATCAGTCAAGTCTGTTCCACACAAAACATTTCAGGAACAAGGACACACTGTGTAATTAATGTGACGCTCTGAACCCGAGCTCAGCTAATATCAGACATTTGCATCTGCAGATTTACACAAGTTGATGTCCCCAGCGGCTGATGTCACCTGTGGGTGTAGCTTATGAGTTAGAGCAGGTCATACACTAATCTCTTTACCATTTGCCACCTACAGGATGACAAAGTCATTTTTACACTAGTGCCACCCGCAGGCAATGAATGATATAACTGTAGTTGTTTCCTTTTTTATAGCTTCTATTACTGCTACTCATGGGGTGGGACAATTATCTGTTCGCACACTGACATTGTGAGGACACTCCTTCTATCTGGGGACAAACAGCTGGGCTCCATAAAGTAAACCATTTTGCTATTAAGATCTCATTTGTTTACTTATACAAAAATATTACAAACAATAAAAAGACACTAAGGAAGGGGATGAGGTACATACAGAACAATTGATGGGGCAATACTCTGATGGTGTTTCTGACCAAGTTCCAGTGGCTGCTCCAAGGCTTTTATCAAAACCGCTGACAATAGATAGACGTAAGACCAACGACTTATTGCAAAGCATCGTCTGCGTTCTTTCCAGTTCATCAAAAAGATCTTCGCAGACAGACATCCATTTGTAAGAAATGAGTGTACTGGTGAAAAATTCTGGTCGCTTCTAACTAACTAACTTCCACAACAGATGTAAGGAAGAACCTCTGCTTCTACCAACATTGGTCAGGATAATTGTCCTCAATTTTGGAAAGTCTAATAGGAGTCATAAGCTCTTCATAAAATTTGATCCTGAATGACCACATTTTGTCCTTATATTTTCTCTTGTTCTTATTAAAAGGGTTTTCAAATCATGTTCCCATGCCAGCTGGAGGAGCAGTAGGCTGCTGAACAGGCTAATGATCTATTGGCAACTGTACCTTTGCAGGTGGTTGCCTTTGTAAGACACTGGTCATGCTGTGAACAAGAGGTTGGGCTCCATAAGGTCAAAAAACAGTTTAATTCACAATATTAAACATGCACATGTTGTATTTAAAAATGTAACACCAACCTGCTGCCGCATGTATATATTTTTTTACCACTGTAGGAAGCATTACTATGGGCATTCTGAAATAGATATGTAACATTTTGAGATGAAAAACCTCTATTAATATCAATCAGATGCAGAACACAAACACATTCGTATTAATCCTTGCATGACATTGCCTCATTTTATTTAATTGCTGCAGCAGTGTATTGTTACAAATGTCTTTCCTGCTCAGCTTACAACCAATTAAGAGACAATGCTGCAGTACATGCACAGATTGAATTAACTGGCTTTTAGTATGGAGACAGCAGCCTTACTAGCAGAATTAGACACAGAAAAGACTAAAAAGGCCTTTCACGCAAGGTCTCAGTTTTCACCCAGGAGAGGAACAAACAACCATTGACTCAAACAGCTTCCCACATGAATTTATAAACTATTGCTGAATTATAAATGAGAGGACAATTGGGAAAACATGGTTAAATATTGAGTGAAAATGTATCTTAACAGCTTGTTAGGGCCAAGGTGGATGCAGAGGTTAGTATATGAACAACAGACAGATGTTAGCAAAGTGTCCACAGGGCAACTTCAGAGAATGATCAATCTATGCTCATCTGAAAAAGTCTGGTCAGTTGTTCCTGTACTCATTATATCTTTGCTAGTTGTTGTTGTACTATGATTTTAAATGTGTTGAATAGACAAATGGCCAATTTCAAATTCATGTCTGAAACTTCAGCGTTATAATTTAATACTGTAAGTAAATGAAATGCAAAGTGAGACTGATACAGAGAGAGAGTGTCAGGGGAAACCGAGAGAATGTTGTGAAACAGGAAGGGACACTGCCATGGAAAACCAGCTCAGGAAATGCCTCCTGTTTGAAGAAACAATGGGCTCTGCTACAATAACTACACTGTAAAAATGAAGACATTGTGTATTATATAAGAAAAACAAACTTTTCTCTTGCTATCTATGTTTAGCACTCACAGTTAAAATATTTGGATGCAATGCAGTAACAAGTTTTGTTAACTTGAGTTTTTTAGTTGTGGAAAACTAATCATAATCATATAATTAATCACCAACCAATTTAATTCATTAAGCCTCTTTCTATAATCTTAAATCTTTTATTTTTGACTTGTTTGTAATTGAATATGATTGTCACTTTTCACACACAGAGCTTCTATATGACTGACATGACTTCAGTCTAGTAACTTAAAACAGAAGTTCTATTCTGGTTGGGAAATACACTTATTTGCTTTCTGTGGAGAATTACAGTAGATGAGAAATAGCACTCTCATACCAGTCCGTTGAACACAGCTAGCTTAGACAAAGACTGGAAACGGGGAAACTGATAGTTTGGGAATAAAATCCACCTACCAGCCCCTCAAAAGCTCACTAGTTTGAATAATCCCTTCAAAAGCTGAAGTATAAAGCAACAATTTGTCATTTTACCCAGGGTTATACCAACCACTAACTTCCAGGAGTCTCCATTGGTTGCCTGGCAACTGCTTAAACCTCACCTCACCTCATTCCTTCTCATCTAAATCTCCTGTAGAAGCCAAATGAGCGTCTGTCATTACTGTATTAGGTGGTGTAGCACAGGAGGGATCAGTCTTGACATTATCCTACTATTACTAGTAACTGTCGTTGCTTTAGCTTTTGTAACATAAGGATTTGCCCGTTCCTCACTAGGGAGGCAGCACAATCTTCAACCGCAGGCTGAAAACCACCTGCAAACTACATCTTGACATCCCATGCTAGCACTTACTTCTATCTCATTTCTTTTTTTTTAAAGCCCTATCATTATTTGCAATATAGATCTCTAACAAGCATGATTTATCTGTTTATTTGGGAGGGATGCACGTCTCACATTGATAACAGTTGCTGGGTGTACCTGTATCTTATTTCTTCTTAAGTTAAGTTGACTTTAAGTTGAAGTTTTGCACTGTGATGATGTAAAATATGATGTTCTTGCTGAGGTTACAAAAGTAACCAAAAATTCTAAGTTTTGCAAACTCAAACTCAAAACTTAACTCAAACCGTCTACTCTATAAGCAAAATATTCATAGACTGATGCCTTAACATTTTTAGTTTTATCAACTTCCTAGTGTTTACAGTGTGTAAAAATGTCAATATCAATAGACAAAGTTGCTATTTACAATATATTTAGAAAATAAAACTCTGAAGATGATCCTGGAGATTGTGAGGCTCTGAATGATGAGCACTTACCAGGTTGTGAAGGACATGACATACAAAAGCGAGTCTTTCTTTTACCACCAAAAGTTTTAGAATAGACGCAAGGTTGAAAAAGGTCTTCAGGGAAAGAAACAGTGGGCCTGTCACGCAGTCCTTCCAGCAGTCTGAATTGAGAGACAACCACACTCTCCAGTGGAACAAAACATAATCACAGT